CCCCCCCCGTTGAAAAAATAACGTTCCTTTAATGCTGTACCAGTTTTCATACTCAATATTACGTTATAGAGATCAAGGTTTTTTTTCCAGATAAGCATTTGAAGATGATAATAGCTTGTGATTTGGAGCTGCATGCTAATGTGTTATTGCATTGTACAATGACTAAAATGATTGAACACTTGGAAATGATTTCATGAACTTGTGTGTTTATGTTATATGGTCAAATCAAATCATATATAATTCGATGAGCATTTACTCACAGTATACTGTCCCTTTAAACAGCCCTGAGTTCACCTTTTATTGACTTATGTGACTTAACCCCACGCAGGCAACGTTATCATAATGTCAACATTTGAATATTCTACAACCTTATTCCAAGCACATAATGAAATGTATTCCACAGCAATTAAAAGTTAACTACAGTCACGCTCCTGTGTTAGTTATGTGGACACAGATGTAAGAGAGCAAAGGGAAAAAAATAAAATAATAATGTGTGTGTGTGTGTGTGTGTGTGTGTGTGTGTGTGTGTGTGTGTGTGTGTGTGTGTGTGTGTGTGTGTGTGTCTGACCTCCCCTCCTGCCCTCTATCTATGCTCAAAGACATCTGATTGGCTGCTGCCTGGGATCATAAAGGTGACCATCACCATGAGCGTCTTCAGTGGGTACCATCATTCAGAGCCTAGCAGAGTGAGGTCATAGATGATCTGGGTTGTAGCCCCAGCCTCCAGAGACAGCCTTTTTACGCCAAATAGTTTTTGTTTCTTCAGAGCTCCAGATTGGACAAGCTGAGTGTTGTTTGTTCACTTATTATGTTAAAAACATATCCATGATGTAACAATTTCCAAATGCAACTGGGTTTCTCTTACCAGTTGTGTCCCCTCGTCAGTGCTCCGTCTGTCTCTTGTTATATTGTGCAGTTAGCAGCTCATCTTCACACGTGTCTTTAACTTGCTATATGTTTTCAAATATTTTAAACTAGTTTGGAGAGATGGAACATTTTTTAAACTTAGAGCATTACAGTAAATGTTTCAGAAATGACATTCAGCCCTGCAAGTGTCCCATACTTCCTGAACCGCGTGTGACCTCTTTTTTGCACCTCGAGGAACTCCTTGTAGTCCCTGGTTTCTCTAATGTCTGAGTCTCTCCCACTCTTAGGTGGGAACAACACCACTCCAACGGTACTCATTTTATAGTAAAAGAGAAACTTAAAATGTAGTTAGTGCTTTATTGCAGTATTGTATTTGTTTCTGTTCGGAGGGTAGTTTGATGGAATTAAAAAAGAATGTACCTGTTTGTATCCGTGTTGATTATCTTTCACTATCAAGCAACATTTTTTTAAACAAACCGTTCACAGCCATAACAGACTTTATGCAACTGTGTGATGGACAGTGTTTCAATAATAATGCTGTATCCTCATTTATTAAGTTGACTATGCCCTAATAGTAATCTCTGTCTGTTCTTTGTGTTGCAGTGCCCCCTCAGATTGTGGTTCGGCCCCGGGACCAGATCACAGCTCCAGGTCGCACCGTAACCTTCCTCTGCGGCACCAAAGGAAACCCTCCGCCAGCCGTGTTCTGGCAGAAAGAAGGCAGCCAGGTGAGACCCCTCCTCATCACAGAACTCACGACACAAACAGTCCACAACACAGGAATATACTAGGTCTATGTTATATGTTTTACTTTAATGGATTAGATTCAGGTTTTCAATTTGTGTTTTCACAGTGTAGTAAATAATAACCCTTGTGGGGGTTTTAACCTAACTTCACCAACGTGATCAAGAGACGACAGTGACCCTCGTATGAAGCTTCAGAAAACACATTATTATAAACAGTCCAGTCTTACATCTGGTGTCACACACATCCAACGTTAGACACAAGCCTACGCTCACTGCTAGTACAGGATATGATTTGTCTAAACTGCAGTGTGTATCATGGTGAATATATTATTATTTTATGTTTCCGTCACACACATCCAACGTTAGACACAAGCCTACGCTTTTAGATGTATCTCTGGTTGCAAATATATCTAAGTAACCACCTCCAGTTTCTGATGTGAAGTATATAAAGTTTGCATCGGACAACAACACATTTCAGAACCAGTTCGGATCGATTTTAAAAGCTGAATGTTCAATTCAGGCGAGGTGCTCCCTTTGCACTGTAATGTGAAGTAATGACAAATGAATTAACAATTATCATATACACAATATATCTATCATGATAATATTTGAATCGAGACTCTTTTTGCTCAGCTTCTGGAGTGCAGTTCAATGTCATCACTGACAAAGAATTCATAACAATATTCATAAATAGAAACTGCATTGTTCTTCAAAACTCTGATTCCTGATAGTATGGCAAATTTATATGACTTCTAAATCACTTTATATTAATCAAAAGTCCAAAAAAAGTATTAACTTATTTCATAAGATTTGTGAAGGTATTTCCAATCAGATAAGCCTGAATGAGATCATTGTGAAACTAACACAGAACAATGATATTAATACAAATGAATAAAAACAGTAGCCAGTAGCCATATGACACTAGTTTAGTCTAGTTTTCAGCACATCCCGCTCTTTACAGAGGACTGCATCTCTCTCACTTTTATATTCCTCTCTATTATCCTTTTTTATATCAGTGCCAGGGTGACTCACACACACACAACCACACACTCATACACACCTCATTTTCCCATCATCCACACAGGGTATTACTCACCAAACTGTGTGTGTGTGTGTGTGTGTGTGTGTGTGTGTGTGTGTGTGTGTGTGTGTGTGTGTGTGTGTGTGTGTGTGTGTGTGTGTGTGTGTGTGTGTGTGTGTGGGCTTTGTTCATGCGTATGATATAAGTATGAGTGTGAGAAAGGCGAGTGTGTGATAAGCAGTGCAGCCTTTTGGAATGCACTGAAAGGCCTGATGGGAGTGCGGGGGTGCCTGTAGCATGGCTCCCAGGTACAGATTAGAGGGGGGGGGGGGGGGCG